ATAAATCATTACATAAGGTTTGTATTTCTTAACCCCCAAAATTCGTTTACAAAAATTCAAATGCACTTTCTCAATACTGGAGCTTTGTGAAAGCCCAAAACTTCAGCTCCATAGTTTAGGACACAGTACACAAAAGTTGGGTTTCATTATTGAAGTATTTACTTTTACAAACATTGGATACAGCATATAGTGCTTTCCTACCTTGTTCTGCTAATTTCTCTTGTGTAATACTAAATGTACCATTGAATTTCATTAGAATTCCAAGGTAGCTAAAACTGTCAACATTTTCTAAAACATTACCATCATAAAACCATTTTTCTTCCTCCTTCAACTTACCACTATTTCTAAAAATTATGACTTTAGTTTTTTTCAACATTAACAATTAACTAATTCCTTAGTGTATTGTAATAGGGTGTCTAACATTTTTTGCAATCCCTCTGCCTATTCAACTAACAAAATCATATCATCTGCGTACATTAGAAGAAATAAGTTAATAGTTTGGAGTTCTATAGAAGGACAGTTATCAGTTAAAAAATGCATCTCACAATCATCCACATAAAGAGAAAACAAAATCGGTGACAATATTTCGCCTTGGAACAAACCATTCCTGCATTCGAAGAAATTAGACATTGAATTGTTGAATTTAACACAACATTTTACATCGTTATATAAAGAACGTATACTATTTAACAGTTTACCTTCTACTCCTTTCTTAATTGGTTTAAACCACAAATTCTGTCTGTTAACAAAATCGAAAGCTTTCTTATAATCTATGAAACAACAATATAGCTTCTTTTTCTTCTTTAAAGTTCTATTAATTAACGATTGCAAGACAAACACAGCATCTAAGGTTGACATATGCTTTCTGAAACCAAAGTGAGCGTCACTTATTTTAGAATAAGCGGTATCAAATTTCATAAGTCGATTATTTAGGTTGCTGTGAATATTTGTAATTTTCTTTTTATTCAAGATTTTTTAAGAAGAAGGCAGCAAAGAAAAAAGGAGAAAGTCAACAGAAAAAGGAAGAAAAGGAGCATCTGGTTTTTGCACCCGGCTTTAAACTGCAAGTACATGTAAAAAAAATGTACAGCCATATAAATGTACCTTGGGTTAATTATACCAAGCTTCCTTAAAAATGTGGCCGGGAAATGAGGGTTATACTCAGGACAAAATATATTTATATCATAATAGAGAAAAACTATAATTAGTTCAGACAGACACTTCAACTGAAATTCACAAAAAAGGGACAAAAATGTTGGGAGTTAAAACAAGATTCAATACAGGTATGGTAAAAGGGGCATAACTGCCAAAAAAAAGCATACAGATCAAGAGAAAAAGCCCTTGTGCTAAAATGCATGAGAACTGTGGGAGGAGTTGTATTGTATCTACTGACTTGACGATATTAAATTATTTAATTTTTGGCTTATAATTCCAGGAGGTTGTTCCATTTTTTCCATTCTCTTTCCAGTTTTCTTACAAAATTATCCCCCTTGCAACATGCTATGTATTTTTGTACAGAATGATGGTCTTTTATGCTATTAATTAAAGCATTTACTGACAGATAGTTTTGAAGGCATCTTGTTTTATAAATAAAGTGTTTGGTCATAATTAAAATATCATTATCTAGTATGTCGCTTATTCCTGACTGTAACACTATTCCGAAAAGGAAGGAATTTCTAAGAGCTGACAGGATACCATAATACTGCAGAAAGTTTGTGTTTATATTGTATTTGTTATTAAATTCATCATGTGTATAAAATGTATGTGTGGGGAAATCTTTTATCAAATCATTAAAAATAGTAATTCCACATCTATACTATTCAGGATAAAATACACACTTCTGATTTATATTTTAACTTTTATTATACCATAAAGGCAATTTTAAAAACGATTGTCCCTTTTCCCTTACAAGATCTTCTTTATAAGAAAGTCTACTCCATGCTTTAAATACATCTTTCCAGAACAAATCTGTACTTGTATTTTGGCATATAGATATAGTTTTACCACAGTTAAAGAGAAGATCAATATTGATATGTTTTAATAGCTGCTGCCATTTGCCTTGTTTTTGGAGAAGCCTCCTTATCCAACTTAATTTTAAAGATTCTATCAATGACAATAATTGTACCATCTTAAGACCTCCATCTCTATAATTTTTAACAACAACATCTCTCTTTATTTTATCAACTTTACCATTCCAAAGAAATTCATAAAGGATACAATTGAGATTATTAAGATTTTTTTCGCTGGTATTTGGTAAAGAAATAAACAAATGATTAAATTGGGATACCATTAATGACTTTATGACATGTATTTTACCAATAGGTGTAATAGATCTTCTTTTCCTGCTGTAAATATTTTGGCTAAACAACTAACTAGAGTAATTTCTCTATAATTATATGTGTCATTCTTATCCCCCTTTTTAAATAAGGAAATAATATTAAACTATTGACCATATGGAGGGATAGTTACCAGATTGAAATTTTATTAAAAAATTAAACAATACAATGTAATAAAACCTCGTTACCACTGATAAAAAACCCTCATTAATTAACAAATCATGGCCACATGCTTTATCTGTGCTTAAGTTTCTGTGCTTAAGTTATTCACAATGTCCAGTTAATAAAACTTAGTATTAGGTATATCATTTAAAAATCGGTTACAGCCTTATTTTCACAAGGTTTCTTGGATGACAAATTATTAAAATGTAGATAAAAATCATGTTCATCAAGTGAAGACTTCACATTATTCTTTCTGTTATTGAAATATCTATAAAAAATGGATTTTTTATCTCTCATGAAGTTCAACATGTTACCTTGATGTGTAACAACACTAAGGGGTAATAACAGTTCTTTAAGAAGATCGTTACGTTTTTTAACACTTTCAATGATACCAATTTGGCTCACATCATTACTGTCACAACAATAAGATAACTAGCTTCTTTATTTTCTAAAATATGACGTAAAGTTTCTGTATTATTATCATTCCATCTTATACGGATTCTAAACCCCTAAAACATGTAAAAGTACTCGGAACATTTCAATTTAGGTCCAGTTATAGCTGTAAGAAATTCTCAGATCCCTGTGTTGAAATGTATCCGCAACTTTTAGTCATTATGTAGTAGATTTGCTCTTTTGCGCTGAAGTGTAAAAAAAAAACATTTTTACACTTTAGTGAAGAAAGTAGTTTTTTGCACTCAAGTACAAATTAAAAAACTAGACATATATACTTTTTGGCGTCATGTAGTAATCTTTTAATAATCTTTAGCTATTTGTTCTTTTGCATTTTAGAGCATAAAAAACGTGTTTTTAATTACGTGTAAAAATGGAGTTTTTGGGTGTTTTTTTTTGTTGCAAAAACTACTTTTTCCATTGAATTAAGTGTTTACAACGCTTCAAAAATGGGAACCGGAATCATTCATTTTGTCGAAAGAGGTATGAGGATTTTTTTTTAATTAATGACAAGAAACATTTTCGGCATTATGTGCTTTGTTTGTACTAAATTGCAAAAGATTTGCACTTAAGCGAAAATATTTTTTGCCGTTATGTGATTTTTTGCCGTTAAGTCCAGTTTATTAAGTGTATATCTTTTGCACTTAACTTTGCACTTACGTAGTTTTGGTATTTTAACCTAAAACGGCGTCTCATATATACACAAGGCTGTATGTCACATGGTATATATAACTAAAGATACACGTGTATATAGATTAACGTAACAGTATGGACTTCATGACACGTGTAATTCGTTAATTTGTATTATAAAACTATTTTTTGCAAAAGAATTGTTTTTCATTCGCTTTTTTTTCGGAATCCAAAACTGAACTCGTCATCAGTTTGCTCTAATATCTATAACATCTGAAAAGGAATATTTATGGTCGTTATCATCACTTAGAGATGTATAAAACTGTCGCGGAACTAAACTGGATCGATAGTCGGCGACCAGGTTTCTGAATTGGTAGAGCGTCTGTCTAGAGTTCGAAGGGTCCCGGTTCGAACCCCGGTCTTTCCGTGCATAGAATGTATCATATACGTCTCTGTTGTCATCTGCTTACTGAACACACCAGAAACATAAGACGTATGTTATCAACTACGGGTTATACAGAGTAGACATGTGTATAACATATCTACCAGCAAAATGACAATTAATGTTATTGTTAGGATAGGTTAGACCACGGACTTAACAATCTAAATCCATGGTTAGACTGAGCTACCGTGAACAAGTCAAGTCAAGTCAAGTAAATTTTATTTAACGTCGACATAATTTCAAAGATAAACACAAGCTCGTTTAGTGAGCTTTTACAATCGACATAACAAATAAAACATGCATAAAACAAGGTTTCATTAATTAAACAAGATATGTTGATGCTGTAAAAGATACAAATAGAGAGGAAGCATCCAATAAAACATATTTAATTTTAAATAAATAATAATAATATTTAATGCGGTAAAAGTGGCATGTTACATTTATCACATTTTGAATTTCATTTATTATTTGATCTCATTTGCTTATATTATGAGATGAAGGAAAGATATAAAAAGAAGAACCGGCGCGTCGAATTACCCAATACTACCCAATACTACCCAATACCACCCAATACTACNTACCAGCATAGCATGCTCGACCTGCACCCCATTAACTCAGGATTTGTTAAATTCTTATTATTCTTATAAAATGTCATATATTCAACATAATCACAGATAAATTTAGAAACAAATCACAGGCTGATAATATATCATAAAAATAATAAAACTTAAAATTTTAAGATGCATCAGTATATATAAAGCATACTTCAGCAGAGCTTTGCACAGTGTCAAAAGTATGATTATCAGATGATACAAGAAAAAGTAGTAAACATAACAGAAAAACATTGTTGTGATAAGGATTCTTTTAGTTACGGTCAGAAATAAATAAATAAATAAACCAATAAACCAATTGAGACAAATATCGTACTGAGGTAAAATTATGGTGTGCTACCAAAATTATTTTTATCTCCCTTCGTATAACTCTTCAATTTTTCACACGTGTAGTTTCATTTTGAACAGCAAAGCCATCAACATGAGTTTTGCACGATATAAAAAGAAGATTGAGGAGGGAGATACGATAATTCTGTATCTCGGATATGAAAACATGCATGCCGTGACCATGAAGAGAGGCCAAACGTTCCAGACTAAGTACGGAGCCATGCGACACGCAGACGTGATAGGGATGGACTACGGAAGTAAGGTACAGTGCCCAAAAGGATATTTGTACGTGCTCCAGCCAACTCCCGACCTATGGACACAGAACCTTCCCCACAGGACACAGATCCTCTACGCCACAGACATCAGCATCGTCACCATGCAGCTCGACCTCAAACCAGGCTCGGTAGTCGTGGAATCAGGTATATAATATTGAAAAACTGGTTGAATTAATAATGTACATGCATGTTTAGAAATCATTTCTTGTCGGACATAAAACACTTGATGTTTGCTCAAATCAAACTGAAAACATATTTCGGAAAAAGTGAAATTAAGATTATTTAAGTTAATAATGTTCATAAAGTTAAGAAATTATGTGATAGGACATACAGGTGTCGGGACGTTTCGCCCTGGGTCGTTTCGCACCAAAATAGTTTAGTACTGTTTAGTTTTGTATGGCAGTCTTATGTCAGGCTTTTCTATGTCTCCTTTAGTCTTTGTTGTCATTAGATTCGTTATATTTGTACGTGGTCGACTGGGTCTGTAAAATGTGTTTGCTTTATATTACATTTATATATCAAGCTGTGAAAATACTTTATGTTGTACAATGAAAGGCTAAGAAAGTGCCAATGTCGTAGTTGACTCTGTTTTCGGGATATTGTGATTTATTTGAAAAACACACCTTGGTTCACCGGCGATCGCCTCGATCACAGGGACCTGAGAATTTGTTATAGCTATATTTGGGCCTAAACTAAGGTGTTCAGAGTAATTTAACATGTTTTAGGGGATTTAGATAGACTTTCGGTAAAAATACCACCCCCAATGATTATAAATACGAGAAGGGTGGAAAGATCTAGATGTCGAAAAGTCGATCCCACCTAACTTTCTTGCATCAAAAAAACATTTCTAGTTGTCATACGAAAGATGAATAATTTATCTTTTAAAAACCTCCCATATGCACGTAAAACGTATTCTCCTTCCACGGACATGATCTATTTCAGAGTTTCAAAGTTTTTCGCAGTCAGAGACACGTATTGTATATTCATGTAGTTGATGTCAGCCTGCATGCCAAAACATGCAGTGTTGGTTTGGTTGGATGGTAATTTTAGTGGGAAAAAATGGCTGCGCTTCCAGCAAATCACACCACAGGTCTTGGCACGTGGCTGACACCAAATTGCTCTGCAGACCTTAGTTTAGCTCAAAATATAGCTGTAACAATTTCTCGGGTCCCTGTGATAGGGGCCATTACATTGCAGGCCTAGACACTTGAGAAATATTAATATTATCTGACAGTCCAGCATCATCAAAGTTTCCTTCTGTATTGCATCATAGGCACCGGAAGTGGTTCATTGTCTCATTCTATTATCCGGACCATTGCTCCGACGGGACACCTTCACACATTTGAGTTTCACCAGCAGCGTGCGGAGAAGGCAAGAGAAGAGTTCTGGGAGCATGGTCTGAAAGAGTATGTAACAGTCGCACACCGGGATGTCTGTCAGGACGGGTTTGATTTGGAAAACATTGCAGATGCTGTATTTCTTGATCTCCCCCGACCATGGGAAGCCATGTCAAGTGCTAAAACTGCCATGAAAGTTACAGGTATTTTGATTTTATTAATTATCAGTGGTAAAAAAAACTTTCTCTTGACAGTTCATTTATCAAAAAAAAGGGTGGTTTGGATTAATAAGACTTACTGCATAGAACTTGTTTTTCGTGATTTTTTTTATTATTATTACAGTGCTATCTTCGTGCAATATTCACTAAACACTCTTGGGTTCTTTATGCCGTTTATTCTGTATTTTAAAAAAAACCTGCAAGTACAAATACAACACATTTCACATTCACTCAATTCTCTCACATAGTCTATTTATATCAATATCTCTAAAAATAAAATAATACATTTCAAACTTACCCCACAGATCCTGCAAGGGTTTACAGAAATTCCTTTGTCTAACAGGCGATGTATGACTGGCAGTTGTTACAAAGTGTTTAACATGTAATACTGTACATGAAATAAATAAACACCTTATAAAACCATACTAATTACTACACTTTATAATTTTTGCCCTACATTTCGCAGTCCAGTGACTTTAACAGCATCTTCATTAATGTTAAGTTTTTGCGTTTAGCTGTGTGTTTTATGCTTTATTTTAAACATTTAAAGTGTTAGACTAGCTAAACCTGGACTGTAGTTATTTGAGACACGGTGCATTTCAAATCATGCATCATATGCTGAATGTGGCCTATATTTCAGGGTCCAGTGATCATGACTTTGACAGCATCTCAATGTTAAGTTTTTGCATTTAGCGTTGTGTTATATGCTGCATGTCAAACATTTAAAGTGTAAGACTAATTAAACTTAGACTGTAAGTTGGGATGATCATGACCATCTAAAGGGTTACAACGTCAATGTTTTAACAGAAACAGACAACAAACATGGCTGCAGTATACTGGCTTCTGATTGCAGTATACTGGCTTCTGATTGGACGAAATTCAGATATTGTTTGATTTCGCTAATACTTTCTATGTAGGTGTATTTTGTCACTGCGAACTCAGACGCATTATCCATTTCCTGATTTGACAAAATGGCCACCTTATAATAGCTTCTGATTGGTTGAAATTCAGTTATTGTTCGATTTCAATCAGATTTGGTAAGTACATGTATTTTGGCACTGCGAACTCAGTCGCAACATCCATTTTCTGATTTGACAAAATGGCTGTCGTATATTGGGTTCTGATTGGTCAAAATTCAGTATCTGTTCCATTTCCCTAAAAATCAGTATGTAAAAATAAGTGTATTTTAGCATTGCAAACTCAACTGTGGCATCCATTTTCTGATTTGACAAGATGGTTGCCGTATATTGGCTTCTGATTGGTCGAAATCCAGATATTGTTCGATAGCTCAAATTATATATATGTAGGTGTATTTTGTCACTGCGAACTCGGCTGCATTATCCATTTTCTGATTAGACAAAATGGTCGCCTTATACTGGCTTCTGATTGGTCGAAATTCAATTATTGTTTGAATTCACTAAAAATCGGCATGCAAGTGTATTTTCGCACTGTGAACTGAACCGCGACATTTGTTTTCTGATCTGACAAGATGGATGTCTTATACTGGCTTCTGCTTGATTGGTCGAAATATAAAAATATATTTTGATTTCGCTCAAATTTGGTATCCGATGTATGTGTATTATGGCACTGCAACTTCTGTTCTCCTATTAACATTCGTTTTTCCGAATGCGGGGGTAGTTTTGGGGACATCTGTAATGGCTGGCTCCCATTATAATATTAGCACTTGTTCCTTTTATACCCCCAAGTATTGCCAAACTTGTTTATAAAATGTAAAATTCAGAACTTCAGCTCAAACTTACAATGCTTGACACATTAAATCCTGTGGACAGATAAGACATATAATTACGCGTAATATTTGTTTATAGTCTAAGGACCCACCATATAATATTGTACATACAATACTTTGTACATTTGATAAGAAATTGTATCACCAATAGTAAAATTACACATTTACCAAAATTAGAGCATATTAAAATGTATTTTTTATGAACATTTTTTTCTGCATCATTTTAGGTGGGAGACTTTGCTCTTTTTCACCTTGTATAGAACAAGTACAGAGGTCTTGTGAATATCTGCGGGACTTGGGATTCGAGGAAGTGACAACAATGGAGTGTTTGCTTCGTAATTTTGATGTGAGGACAGTCAATCTACCTATTGTAGATATGGGCCCAACGGGACATCCCAGTAAAGAGGACACATCGCAAAACACAGACCTTAAACAGGAGGTGACTGAGCAAACTACTTCCCAAGTCAAGAAACTGAAATCAGGAAATAGGGACTCAACATCTCAACGTGAACTTAAAAATGTGCCACCATGTTTTGATCTCATTGGGAAAAAGGAAAGTGAAAGCTTCTTTTTTAAGACTGGAATAACACCAACTAATATGCCAGGACATACCGGGTTCCTCACCTTCGCCACTTTGTATCCCTCATGAGTGAATGTTTGTTAATTCTCTTGTGCAGTTATGATGCTTATAATGAAATTACTAAGTATATAACAGTTACATCGGTCAATTCTACCCAGTAACTGTTTAACATTCTAGTATTTTTTATGTGATACAACAGCAATTTAAAACAAATCTTGTGTAAAATTAAAATATAACACCAATACAATGTTCAGCATATTTATTTTTTCCATATAATCATTACGAAGAAAAAAATAACAAGATACAACAATTAGGCCTAAGACTGCCTATACAAAGACATAAAGTAAACAACAAGAGATACAATAAAGCACCGGCTGCTCGGCTCCCAACAACAGTTTATATACATAGTAATGAATGCAGACTGAAGCTAACATCAAAACATGGGACCGATGGAAACATTCCACTACCAAAGAACACCGACTGTCGATAGTTTTATCACTAACACATACAAGGTTTTACAACAAGTTTTCAAAGATATTGGATTTCAATTGTAAATATTTGAAACAGCAGTTAGTTAATGTGTCCTGCAGATTGTCTTTACCATTTTAATAATGGTATGTAGAAATAGCTGTGAAACATTGTAAAAAACAATCTGCTCTTTGTGATTTTTAAGCATCCGTTCTTATTTAATTCAAAACAAATCTCAAACATTTCAGCTGTCTAAATCAGATATCCTGAAAGGAAATATTAAAAAGATATTTTGTTTATATGTAATAAATATAAACATTTAGTGAGAATTTGGAGATGGAATATTTTGGTAAATCTGCAGAATCCCATCTACTAGTAGCTATAGTAATAGTTTGGAACAATTGTTTTGATGATGCGATTCGCATACATTTGATATTATTTGGGAACACAATTATGAGTTGTAGAAACATTGGACCTTCTCCTTGTAAAGTCAAAATATAAAAAGCTTTCACAAAAAATATTAACAGCAGATACTCTTGCCATACTGGTAACAATGCTACCATAGATTACCTACAACCAACACAATACATTATAACATGCGCCTGATTACAATGTACTTCCACATCATAAAAGGCTGCTGATCAGGGATATTTTTTATCACTTTTATATATGTTTATGCCGACTGTGGCTGTCAAATGTATCTTGCCGTGTTAAACCTCTAACATTGTTGGAGTTAATAGCTCCTGATAAGGCTGATATGATGATAAAGCAATATCAGGATACTTTGAGCAGAATTATGAAAATGGTGTTACATATCTGGACAAATTTTGTTCTGATTAGAATGGTTTCTCCGACATCTTCAAACACATGGCACTTGGCACTTGACGCTGCCAGAGGTCAAATAAACAATAAAAGTGATAATAATAAATATTCGTAACTGTTAATCGTACATGTACTAGAATGGATTTTATCTATTGCCATACTTGGTCAAAAAAAGGATTTCAATGTCAGAGGGCAAGAAAGTAATTTTTGTAAACCTTTAAAATAAATAAATAAAAGGACTAGAATAAAGGCTAACTACGTAAGGCATAGCTGTTTACTTAAAACTAAAGCCATGATACAGCTATAAATGTAGCACCACACAATTTAAGACTATTCTACAGTAAAATCAAGAGTACCACTGAGGAGGAGGACCAGTAAATGTCTGTCCAATACACAGACACAACTTCAAACTCAGCCAATGGCTTGGTATATGAATAATATGAATATTGGACAAATTTCATCAGAACCCAATCATTTCAAATGAATGATGCACAGATTTTGTTCAACTTTGAATTTAATGCTGATCAAATTTCAGCAGAATTGAGTCATATTTAATTTGATAAAGTTATAGTGCAAAAACCATTGACCCATCAGAGCCCAGTATGACCACAGGTTAAAAATGGAGAATGAGATAACATAATAACTAAACCAATGAAGTGTTAAGATAGGACAAAAACTGAGGGAGGAGATCAATATCTGGACAAAATAATCAAAGGGCAATAATTGTATAAAGAACTATCAAATCTTACTTTTATATGAAAAACACAGCTAAATGACATGATATTGAAGCCCATCAAAATTCAAGAAGATCTGTCAAAATCAAAAAGAAGAGGTCTTCTGCTAATATTGTGAATAAAAGGATGGCTGGACAATGCCATACCATAATTCGTCCCATCATTTTAATGAATGTAGAATTATTTCAAATCCAGAACCAATACATGTAGTACCAAGCTTCATTTGTTCGACTTAAAGTCAAATCCTTCATCTGATTTTTTTTCACAAGTTTTGACATCAAAATGAAAATTTATGCAAAATTTGTTGGATAGCAATCAATTTGAATCCCAAAAAATGCATGTTTTCTTTTCAGTTGCCATAATTACAAAAATATTTAGTATCAAGATTTTACATTTAAGAGCTATTCATTCTTTAGTTGATACATTTGGATGGAGAACTCCCATGCTGATAAGAATCAAACATTGTTCCTACAAACTTGATGGAACTATGAAATCTTCATAAGTGGTTTGATCTGTAAAACATTGCTGACTGATTTATTGAACTAGAACAAAGTCATCACAAGGTGAAAAATATGTACCAAGGTGACAGTTCAATTAAACTGAATATGGGAAAATTTGTCCAAAGTGAGGGGCGTGAAAATTTGGTAGGGTAAGACATTGCGATTAACAGTCGGGACTGTCCATGCTTTTAAGAGCACCAAGATGAAATAAATCACTGGCATTTCAGCAGTGACAATGATTTCCTGATATTGTTGTGACAAAGTTTGACTGGCATACCTGTACACAAGTAACTCTGGAGTAGTCGTAAACGGTAAATACTTATATACATATTTAGTGCACCTCTGAAATAAAACATTCTTAAGCAATATAAATATTTATAACTGTCTTCAAGGCAAAAATCCCAATCAAAAATATGTGTTTGCAAATAATGCCTCTACATTATTGCATGTATAAAAAAAAAAAGGTACATTCTTTGTTAGTTTAAGTGCAAATTATCTTACTTAACTACAGGCCGACTTGTTCGTCGATTTCTTAAATGCAACATTTGAGGAGTAAAACCTGACCGACCTGCAAATGTTAATGTAGACTTTGAAAGTCTTTCCCTAGACTTGCTAGAAATCAACACCATATCATTAGATCCATCCCTATGTCATACACAAACAACTCATTTGGAATGTGATGAGCGAAAGCAGCCCAGATGAGCCCAGTATTCCCATATTACAACAGGCAGTTTGTTCCCATGCTACATGTGCATGCCCAGATTGGATTTTTTTTTCTCCTCACAAAACTCAGTCTTGTTTACAGCTTTCCTTTGCCCGATAAGAATACGGACAGGTCAGCAAGGGCCCAACCATGTGCCTNCCCCAGTATATTATATGATTATATAACAGTAATCTTGAACTTGATAACATTTAAACCCTCTATTGCACATCTACATATCACAGTGTATCACTATGTCATATTTCATAAAAGGTGAGACTGTTGGATTCCGAGATTAGGAACATACCTCCCATACCTTCTATCTTTAGTAACAGTGACCTTGACTTTGACCTAAGAATTTGTTTAACCCCTTTTATTCATCTTTATTTCACTGTGTATCATTTTGTCAAATTTCAGAAAGATTTGTCTATCAGTTTCCGGAAACAAAAATTGGACGAACAGACACTGATTACAATACGGCACCCACATCTTGAATGTGGGCCCTAGTGAGTACAAGATCGGCAGGTTTTACTGTGTACATGCAGTGCTATAGAAAAAAAGAGATATGAAAAGATTTCTGTCTTTTTTCATCATCAATTATTGTCTTTTAATCACAATATATCATTATCATAAGAACCCCTATATGTTCAGATATCAAAACAGCTATACCATAGCTTGATTGCACATACAAAATGGAAATCTAAGCAGAGTGGTTTCAGGGCATTGAGCTGGGATTCAAGAAATAAATATTATCATGTACACTCAAGTGTTTCTCTCTCCAACACTGTTTGTATTGATTTAAAAATATGTACAAAAAACTCTTATTCATAAATATATTCTGGAATGTTAAAAATGGAAATGTCAAAATATCAACAAAACAACATTGTCATTTGACTAGATTTTTGTATAATGGCATTTGAAAGTATGAAGTGTTATCTTAACATATATCGATAGAGCAATATCGGACCTGTTCTTCTTTCAAATAAATTATGAGCAACATGTGCCTTTTCAATTTTCAACACCTCTGCACTAGCAGAAGCATCTGTAGCAAATTTCTTCTGATTTCATATTCTTGGCTCTTTGAGAAAAATGGTTAAATGGAATGTAAAGTTTAAAACAAAACAATTATCAAAACAATGTTAGTTATGTATGTTCCGGGTAGCCATTTTAAAATCAATTCACAATCAATTTGCTGATATGCATTCATGAACATTTAAACATACCAGAGTAACAGAATTATAACTGTGGTAAATGTCCCTTTACATTTTCTGACATTGCAGTACATGTAAATTATGATTGACACTAAGGAAAGCTGCTGGTGAACCCATGTCGATCGTGTACTTTTACTGTACAACGCCTTCCTTTATCAGGTTCACAACATATATTAACAATCATTCACAACTATTTTTACAACTGAATCAAGATAATTTTCACACCATCTTATTTTTTCATAATACTTTTTTTTCTAGATTATGACACAAACAACCCATTGACCTTCATGTTCAGCTACATTATAAACGTAAACTTTAAAAATACAACTGATTTCCTGGTACATATGAGAATCACACATCTGTTTGAACTGTAATATTATAAGTTACACTGAACATGAAGTTTATACGCAGCATGTATAATATTTTAAGGATGCTTAACTGTAAGAAGTGTTTGTAACATGAAAAGACAAAATCTGGAAAATTATTGTATATCATAATTTATATTATAATACAATTCCACCAACCTATGTAGATATTGAGTCAGCTTCTGGTTATCACTGTAAAATATACAGTATAAACTTCATTTATTTTACAACAATTATGAAACACGTTATTTCGGTTTATATTAGTCACTCTTGTTGGCCTGGATGTTAGTGCATGGGTGGTTTTAATGTGGGAGGATTGATTTTATTTTGTTTAATCCCAATGTGGGAGGAAACCAGAGTGTCTGGAGAAAAACCATGTGGTCGGGCAGGTGACCTACCTTTTCACGTCTGATTGGGAAATCAATCCCCGGCCACCTTGGCGAAAGGCGAGTGTGCTATCCACTGCACCAACGGACCACCCAAAATAAATTGTGTATAAAATTCATTACCAACCTATCACCCTGTTTAACATGAAGGAAGTGCTAGCACTTATCAACTCATGGTGAAGATCATTTTAAAACAAAAATCATCTGTATGTGGTTTAGGTTTATACATTTTAAATACACTAGTGTATTTTGAAAACATCCCTTGATAATTTATTAAATCAGCAGATGGAATTAGATATTTATTGTATCTGATAAACATTTGTATTGAGCAAATTAAACCTGAATATTCTATATATATATACAGTCATGGTAAAATTGAAATGTTATATAAACCCTCTGTCAACCTTTTTATAATGGGTAAATTGTACAGTAAAACAAATATCAACTTAAAAAGATATTGATATAAAAATCTTATAATTGTATAGTATTGCTATACAGTCTATGTATACTGTAAAGACATTCTCTTAATGTACCATTAAGGCTAAAAGTCACTTGTACACAATTGGTCAAAAAACTTTAAACAAAAATCATATTACTCTCACTGAGAGCAACAAATACACGTTTCTCTTTCTCTGGCAACGATAAATTCAATAATTCACACACACTGTAAAAATATGAATTTAGGTGTTAAAAGGATAAATTGGTACAAGTACCCTGATATAACTGCAAAACTGAAGAATTTGCAAAATGTTTAACATTTTTAACATCTTATAACATTTTCATTAAGCTATTGACATTTTGAAAATATGCGGGTCATTGGAATACAATTTTCTTTAACAAATAGTTCCCTCACTCTTTGAAGTTCTTTAAATCAATAATTTTAAAGAGGATTTTAATACTGTTTGTGTGTAGATGTCTTTTACATGGTAAATCACATCATCTGAAAAAATCTTTGGTTTGGAGCGTGAAATAACTACCACAACACATGATCAGAGCACCCCACATGTGTTGTCTTAGACAAGACAATCATGTATCTGGATGGGGAACATCTGAGACTTTACCCCCCTCCCAAAACCCATCCCCAGCACACATACAGTAAAGAGGCACAATATAGTTAAACAAAAAATCCTAACAACAAAAGCAGGAGATTTCTTAAGACATTTGGTCTCAATATGGCTATCTTTTAAGAAAGTCTGCTATCATTTTATACATAGTAGGTTTATTGAAAGCAGGAGTTAAACTGTAAATGAAATTAATATTAGCACAGGCATTGTTCCATTTTTCTTGCTGGTTCAAAAATTATAAAACAACTTTGTAAGATCAGATCATTTTGAGATCTGGTGAAATTTTCTATACTTACAACATGTAATTAGAAGTCTTTTTGATATGTCACTGAAAATGTATATAGCATATAAACTTAGATCTTCCATGATCCCAAAGACAAAATATGAGAAAATATCAAGATTTGTATAGCCATTCAAACATGTCAGCCATTAGTTACCAATTATACACTGATTACTGCAGCAGTATGCCTCGGACCCAGTCAGGAGTTGATAGCTGTATGAATCGGACCCAGTCAGGAGTTGATAGCTGTATGTATCGGTCGCAGTCAGGAGTTGATAGCTGTATGAATCGGTCCCAGTCAGGAGTTGATAGCTGTGTGTATTGGTCCCAGTCAGGAGTTGATAGCTGTATGAATCGGTCCCAGTCAGGAGTTGATAGCTGTATGAATCAGACCCAGTCAGGAGTTGATAGCTGTTTGTATCGGTCCCAGTCAGGAGTTGATAGCTGTATGTATCGTACCCAGTCAGGAGTTGATAGCTGTATGTATCGTACCCAGTCAGGAGTTGATAGCTGTATGTATCAGACCCAGTCAGGAGTTGATAGCTGTACGTATCGGTCCCAGTCAGGAGTTGATAGCTGTCTGTATCGGACCCAGTCAGGAGTTGATAGCTGTATGTATCAGCCCCAGTCAGGAGTTGATAGCTGTATGTATCAGGCCCAGTCAGGAGTTGATAGCTGTATGTATCGTACCCAGTCAGGAGTTGATAGCTGTATGTATCGGACCCAGTCAGGAGGTGATAGCTGTATGAATCGGACCCAGTCAGGAGTTGATGGCTGTATGTATCGGTCCCAGTCAGGAGTTGATCGCTGTATGTATCGGTCCCAGTCAGGAGTTGATCGCTGTATGTATCGGTCCCAGTCAGGAGTTGATAGCTGTATGAATCGGACCCAGTCAGGAGTTGATGGCTGTATGTATCGGTCCCAGTCAGGAGTTGATCGCTGTATGTATCGGTCCCAGTCAGGAGTTGATCGCTGTATGTATCGGTCCCAGTCAGGAGTTGATAGCTGTATGTATCAGACCCAGTCAGGAGTTGATAGCTGCACAGGCAGCGGAGCAGAGTTGGGACAGGAATGGGATGTGGCCCTGTGAGAACTGCTGGAAGTGCAGGGAGGACCGGTACAGGTCCAGGAAGACAACTCCACAAGATGTACAAGTCTTCCTCTCTCCTACAGTCTCTGTACAAACAGCAAGGATATTGATTTAGAACATTTAATCCGTTCAGCAATTCAGAATTGAGAAAGTGTTTGTCTGGCTCAAATTCATAAGATATTGAAATCCTCAATATATTTTTTGAAGTTTGAAAAAAGACATTGAACTTTCAGAAACAAGAATAAGCTGCCAGTTACATGTTTGAATTTTATATGTGATGGAGATCAGTAACAGAGTTAAAAACATTAAAAGATGACAATCATTTATATGAAAATGTTTTGAATACAAATGAATCTAAAAGCAGAATAATTCAAGAAATACATTGTAAATGATTGGGGAATATGGAATACTGTGTAAGATATTGAATACAATAAAATTGCCACAACTTAATACCAACTTCATATGGGGTTGAATGTAAAATCAGTGACTGATTGGCTGTTACCAACATTGGGTTACCGCCAGTACAATATACACACAGCAGACTTCCTACCTTGTAGAATAAGTGGCAAGGCTGTAAGGTCATAGTGGGGACTATCTCCAGACACCACCGTCCGGAAGGCCAGCTCAAAAAGGGCAGGAACACTCCCAGTCTCGTATGGACCTTGGGTTAGGGACTGGACGTCAGACTGGTCAGCTTCTGTCAGGAATGGATTTTCTGAAACTAAATATCCAAATTTAACAAGTTATGAGTACCTGTTTTCAGAAGCAAACAGTGCAATGTGATGCCAAAAACCATATCTACTAGTCACTGCCAATTGCTCAAAGTTTACGAGGTGTATCACAATTTTATGTTTTTTACAAGAAAAACTTATTTCTAATTAAAATATCACTGACACTGATTTAAACGGACATATTAATTTCTTATCATTATTTTTATGAATACAAATTTTGTTTGAATTGCGCATCTAAAAATTGTGTATACGGAAAACACAATACGATGTATTGTGTTTACTTACTATCACAAACATGAACTAAGACAGCATACTTACTATCACAAACATGAACTAAGACAGCATACTTACCATCACAAACATGAACTGAGACAGCATACTTACTATCACAAACATGAACTAAGACAGCACACTTACTAGCATAAACATGATCTAAGACAGCACACTTACTATCACAAACATGAACTAAGACAGCATACTTACTATCAAAAACATGAACTAAGACAGCACATTTACTAGCATAAACATGACCTAAGACAGCATACTTACTATCACAAACATGAACTAAGACAGCACACTTACTAGCATAAACATGAACTAAGACAGCACACTTACTATCACAAACATGAACTAAGACAGCACACTTACTATCACAAACATGAACTAAGACAGCACACTTACTATCATAAACATGAACTAAGACAGCACATTTACTAGCATAAACATGACCTAAGACAGCATACTTACTATCACAAACATGAACTAAGACAGCACACTTACTAGCATAAACATGAACTAAGACAGCACACTTACTATCACAAACATGAACTAAGACAGCACACTTACTATCACAAACATGAACTAAGACAGCACACTTACTAGCATAAACATGAACTAAGACAGCACACTTACTATCACAAACATGAACTAAGACAGCACACTTACTATCACAAACATGAACTAAGACAGCACACTTACTAGCATAAACATGACCTAAGACAGCATACTTACTATCACAAACATGAACTAAGACAGCACACTTACTAGCATAAACATGACCTAAGACAGCATACTTACTATCACAAACATGAACTAAGACAGCACACTTACTAGCATAAACATGACCTAAGACAGCATACTTACTAGCATAAACATGACCTAAGACAGCACACTTACTAGCATAAACATGAACTAAGACAACACACTTACTATCACAAACATGACCTAAGACAGCATACTTACTATCACAAACATGAAGATGATTGATATGTAACGTAGCAGGTAGGTACTGTAGGCTGTTATAGGACACGTTCAGCTCCCTTAGGTTACCTACCCTACCCACTTCAACTGGAATCACTTTTAACCTAAAGGTAAAGATAAAAATACCAATAATACATACGAATCTGACACAACCTGTATATGTTAAACATATTAGGTGATCATAAATGTTCATTTACTGCCTCATTGCATTGATTCACAATACACTATCAATTTTCTCTTTTATATTATTTTCTATTTCCCTGACTAGAAAATCTTTTTAAACTATTTTTTTTTTCTTAATACTTTGACTAAATATTGTTGTGTGACACAGTACTGACATAGACACAAGGATTTGGAAAATTATCTATAGTTTACACTGACCTATTTCTAGACAGATTGATGGTCCTGAGGCTGGGACAATGACACAGGGATGGGGAATGTGTGAACTGTTCAGATTATTAGATAAAGTGATGATCCAAGGGCTTTGATATAGACACAGGTACTTTGGAAACTATTGAGTTTACACTGACCTGTTTCTAGACAGATTGATGGTCCTGAGGCTGCAGGGACAATGATACAGGGACTTCAGAAATTGCAGTATCTAGTTTACACTGACCTGTTTCTAGATAGATTGAAGGTCCTGAAGCTGGAACAATGACACAGGGACTTGGGAAATTATCTATAGTTTACACTGACCTGTTTCTGGAAAGATTGATGGTCCTGAGGCTGGGACATTGACACAGGGACATAGGGAATGTATCTAGGTTACAGGACACAGCGAGAAACTCCTCCAGTCTCAGCAGACCTCCGAGAGAATTTGGCACACTGTCCAGACAGTTATCACTCACATCCAATTTCTAAAGAAAACAAGACCAAACTTATGACATTGGTTTAAACCCCAGAAAATTAAATTCAATGATAAGACGCTCAGCATTTGGAATAGTTATGAAGACATATTCGTCATTTTATCTGAGAAACTTTGAAACCCTGTTAAACAAATAATGTGCATCAACATAAAATTATTTCAAAGCATTATAATTCTGGTTAAAATTACAATTTGTGAACCATATATTTGTTTAAAGATAAAAGATCTTGCTATTAAAAACTGTCAGAAAGTGATGAAAAACTGGTACCAATATAAAAATACTGAAAGTTCTGGATTTTTCAATCGTTTGAGTCGAATACGTTATATTTTATCACTTTAAACATTTTCATTCAGTCAAATCTATAATTTAGGGATGTTATAAAATCAAGTTCCTTTTTAATTCTTATTTATGAAATTGAATGCAATACATACAATCTATAGTGAAAACTTTCATTTTCATGACAAAACATACAAAAGTGAGAATGGGAGTGATCACTGTTTTCTAAAAACTGTATCCTTTTTACCAACAACACAATTTACAAGTAAGTAACCAGATACCTGTATCTCTTTAAATGAAAGTATCAGATTTATCAAAAAAAAAATTTATTGAAATGTTTTCTAGTAAACTTAGCTGATGAGATGCTTTTACCCACCTCCTTTGTAAACCAATACAAACCTGTAGCTCATTTAACTGACACAATTTGTCTGGAATGGTAGAAAATTTGTTGTGCCTGGAAAAAAAAATTCAACAATCAGAAATCTTATCTTGAAAGGATCTTATTGCAATATAAATGCTTCTTCAACTATTTTTTTTCTTGATATCATAAATTAAAAAACAAGAAGTCAAATCGGTCTTAAGATACTCATCTGACTTAAGTGGCCTTTCTTTTTTACAAAATATCCAGCACTATATATCGGCAAGCTACTGGCTAACTATTATGACTTTAAGCCTAGCAAAGCGTTAGCCAAATGTCATGTTATTAGGCCTTAAGAAATGGTTTTGGTGTTTTAACAAATTTGACCCATGTGTCTTTAAATGGGTCAAGGTCATTTTCACAAAGTTTATGGCTTTTCATCAAGATTTTGACTCTAGGCATATTTGTTCTTCAGAAGAATCCAATTGAGAGCTTTACCAGATTTGAACCCTCAAACTTTAAGGTATGGGTCAGGGTCTTTTGTTTTCAAAAAATTTGTAGCACATCATGCTAGCAGGATATTGACCAAATATTATAACTTTAGGCTTTGGTTATTCAAAAGAAGTTGTTTGAGAGTTTTAACAGATTTGACCTGTCAATCAAAATCATCCAACTGCTGGTTAATAAAAGAAGATTTGGTTGCAATTGGCTTTATGGTTCTTGAGAAGAAGATGTTCAAAGAAAAGTGAATAGACAGACAGAGTGCAAATAGCTCACTAGGCCCTTTGACCAAATGAGCAAAACAAAATTTGATGCTGAAGGTTGATGTTATGGAGCTGATTGTAAGGGGGAGACAATTCCTTTTTTAAATGCTACATTTGTGTTATAAATCAATACTTACTGTAACAACAAAGTGCGAAGATGCCTTAGATGACGTACAGAATCTGGCACAGCACTAATCTCATTACTACTGACATCTAGGTGTTGTAAGTTAGATAATGACAACCAAAAATCTAAAACAGAGGCAGAAATTCAAAGACTAAATGTAAGTGTTCTCTTAAGTTTGAGATATAAAGGGAAAGATGTTGATGGATGACGCACCATTTAAATGTAAGTCACCTTGCACAAGTAACGGTTTGTAAATGATATGTGATATTCATATTATTTTGAGACAAGATTTTGAATATATCAATACAAACTTAATTTATTTTCAAACAAATATGAAACAAGTAATTTCAACTTTTATTATTTAAATCACTCCTGTTGGCTCTGATGTTAGTCTTTAGCTCGCAAGGCAGGTGATGCAAGTGTATTATCAAATGCACCTTCAGACCACCTAAACATGTGAATATATTTGACGGTGAAAGCAAATTAAAGAATCAGTTTCATATCATAAAAAGATTCAGAACAAGACACTTACCAGGTAAAGAAGTAATTTTGTTAGAAGACACAGTCAGTATCTGGAGATTGGTCAAGGACCCCAGAGTTGCCTGAAAAAGTCATATCACCATGTATTTATTATATAGCACATATGAAATACAAAATGTATAAGTTATCATAGAAACTACCTTAAGTCTGTATGGAAATAAAATTACTGATAAAGGATTGGTCAAAATAATGCATTAAATATTTGTTTGTTTTGTCATTTAGACTAATAGAAATATTTGTGAACAATGGTTACATGTAACATCATTAAAAAAAACAAGAGGTCCATGGGCCTAAACGGTCACCTGAGTCCTACAGTATTCATTTTTGTTGTTGAAATATGAAGTGGAGATAATGATGTCAATCATCCCTACCAAAACCTGAGTAAAGAAAAGTTAGGTATAACTTTGAGTTAGGTTTGCCAGGACCATGAGTTGATCATTCCTACCAAGTTTCAGTTGGATTGACCCAGTAGAACTTGACTTTAAGTTTGAAATAGTTTTTTGAAATGGCCGGCCCTAGCATTCGAAATAAAGGCAATCAGAAAATGGAAACTATTTTTGCTTTTGAAAATTAAAGCGCCATATTTTAAAACTGGTTTATTATTTACAGAATATGGTATGCAAGTCGTTCTTCCTTTTTTAGGTCACCTGAGCTTTAAGCTTTAAGCAATAGGTCAAGTGACCTATTGCTATCCGTCGTCGTCCGTCGTCGTCCGTTATTTTTTATTTATTTTTGATCGACCCGAAAAATAACAACACTTTGTCAGGACCAAGAGTTGATCATTCCTACCAAGTTTCAGTTACTAGTAAAACAGCCCAGTAGAAGTTTAGCTTAAGTTGAAAATATAAAATGTTAACGGACGACGCCGGACGAAGACAGATAGCAATAGGTCACCTGAGCTTTTAAAATATGATGCTTTAATTTTCAAAAACAAAAATAGTTTCCATTTTCTGATTGCCTTTATTTCGAATTGTTTCATTTATTTTAAAAATAGATAAAAAAGATATGTCTTCCTTTAAATTTATGAATTATTACTGTATTCCTATTTTAGCATAGGTCACATCTTAACATACAATGCATTTTTTCCGTATCACTAATACATAGTGTTCTACTGGACAACATGTATGTTATCAAATCTTACACGGAAGTTTAATACTTACTGGTAGAATTTTAATGCTATTCTTCTGTAAATAAAATTCTTTAAGGCCACGCAGACAGCCAATTTCCTCGGGTATTTCTCCGAGGTTATTGCCAGACAGATTCAGAAGTGACAATTGGGACCCAAAATAACCAATCCTTTCCGGGCACTGACTGATTTGGCACTCACTAAAACAAGAGAAATACAGACATGCATAAACTTTCATCAGGAAGTCATTTTCTTTGAATTTAATAAAGACTGTGGTGTCCTCATTTCACTTGGGTTTTTTTATGCCAACTTGCTTACTGACAAACTATTTCCGGGCACCACTTTTCTTTATTTTCTAACAGTTCCTTTATATGTCTCTTTTAATGCATCACCAAACCGCTTTATAATGCCAAAATTTTGCTATATTGGGCAATATATTGAAGTTTTTCTTCAGTCAATAATACATTTAGCTATAAAAGTACCATAACGGTTCATATAATGTTTTCCATTTAAATGAGGCCTCACCTGAGATTGATCTCTGTAACAACACCTAGATGATCACAGGGACGACATTCAAGGTCACAGGGATGCTTGTGTATGCTGCAGGCCTCGCGACAGAAACAACATACTTTACACGTCACAAAACGGCACTGGGGATCTGCCAAGTTTTTACTGCATCTATGAAAAATATCAAAACACTTTTTATCAGATGTTAGTCATAAAATAATAGTCACATATAGTTCTGAATTACGTGCAAAAGCCTTCAGTAAGAAATAGAGCAAATAAACTGCAGATTTTATTTATCACAAAGTTGAATTTTCAATAAAATCTCAATGATTCTGTTTAAGAACATGATACTAGATTCTTAGTCTAGTAAGAATGCCAATAGTGTACCTGGAGTAATGAGTAACATGATACAGACATGATTAAGAGAAAACTTGCTGTAAATTTGAAATTACATAAAATATCAATATGCCAATTTGAAATGGCTATTTACCTGACACAAGGCACCTCCACCTGACTACACAGGACAGTCTCAAAATTGATCACATCTGGATACAGACCCGTCGTCTACAATAAAGATATACCCACTCGTAAAATATAATCAGGGCGTTTCCCAGATCAGAAGTTACTTTAATTGTGTCAGCGACATTAAGTTCACAGGTATTGATATTACGAAAAATTAAGGGTTCCAGAATTAGGTCATTTTCTAAACATTACTCTAGGAATTCTACACACATATGACAGCATCTGAACTGGACCCAGGATTTTTGGTAGATGTAAGCCCAGTAAACATTTCTAGAATTTGGACTTAAGAAGATCGAAACACCAAACAGCAAGATTGATGACAAATTAAGTTTTCAGAAAATAAAAAAAAAATAAAAAATCATAACGGGTAATCACAATTGAAATATTTTGAGTAGGTTAATTTTCCTCCAAAAGTCATTTAAGTTTAGGCAAACAATCATTTAATTTATGCCAAATGAGCTAAACACGTATCTGGCACACAAATACACAGACATACACTGATACAACAGGTAATGCATTGTTTTAACTGTTTAAACCCTTTTACTATTAAAATGTATTTTTTCAGGTATATCTTATTTTATAGAACTCACAGATGTTTTTGGTCTTTTAATGGTAAACTTGGCTCCCATGTTTGGTAAGTAGGCGAGAGAGGTGGTCGACTTTCTGCGGCCATTTTCCTTCCGATGCCGAGGATGTGCCAAACGTACTATGTAGTATATAGCCCACACTATTGAGTAGCACAAGGAGCTGGCTATGGCCACTGCTATAGTGGTGGTCTGCACATCTCCACTGAAGAAGATGAAGTCATTGGCTACGATGGACAGGTACTGGTAACAGAAACTGGCCATCACTGAAACAGAAAGGTACAGAGATAACATCAGTTGATACGTGTTGTATTAGTCATTGCTCGTAAAAGGTTTTTTTTCCTAAATATGCTAACCAATTACGATTAATGATTAAATATTTTTCTTGAAAATGCATTTATAATCAGGTTTAAAATCAAGCATAATTTAAATTTTACTTCCTGCACATGTGAGAGTTGACAATTTGGGAAAGAGGGGAGGCATCCTGCCCCTTGTTGTTGCCCCTTCTTATATAACATTCAGTTTCTTAATAGGGAGTCCTTCTTCTTAAATAATGTCTTGTTAAAACATCTTCTCAGGGATCAAGCTAAACTAAAACACGTTCGCCGACTCCTGGAAACACTCTGTGGTCTATGCCTGGAGAGATTCATCTCAGAAGCTGCTCTAGACTATCTTTGCCTTTGAAATGAGGCTACATTTGTAGACATCCATTGACATGCTGGTCTTGGAGAATAAATCGAAAACAACAGCATCAATTCCTACCAACTGGGATTAACCGAAGCTAAGTATCACATGCGTATACTTACATTAACCCCCTCTGCATTAAAGCCATTTTTGTCTCTGTGGAGTATAACATATAGATAGATAGCAGTCTTCATCTTACTGCGACTGACAGTTTAGCGATGCAGTCAATTGTAACAGCAGCTTAAAGAGGGTCTTAACCCTTTCACCCTTATGTAACTTTAGTAAACTCTTCCATGCTTTGATCTGGATGAGTTCATTATGCTCTACAGTGGTGAAAGGGTTAAGAGAGGAATTGGACGATCTCCTGTCTTGTTTCCAACCTACTGTAGGCACTGCCGAATGTTATTGACATTTCTAGGTTTCCAGTTGTAGGCTGACAAAACAAACCAGCCAGCTATCTTTTGTGCCATCTTTATCTTATTTACTTTCTATACCCGATTCTGATAAATCTTGACAACACTTGTTGATGTTCTGTTGGAAGGGAGTCTAATGCTGGATTAGCTTTCACTACAATCCTGATGATGTGGTGTTCACATCCTAATTAGTCTTCTGACTGTTCAGCTTCAGGTTGAAAAGGGTACACTTAGTGGTGAGCTTAACTTATGTAACATATTCACCATTCCAAATTGGACCAATTTAAAAGTTCTGAATTCATGGTCATTGAAGTGACAATATGACGGTCGAATCAATTCCATCACCATCACTGAATGATGTCTTTTTTTGCATTTATAGCACATACTGCACATACTGTGATATTGCTATGGTCAAGAAGTACTTAAATGTACTGAGGGATTTTTTTTTACAAAATAATCAGTGCTGCAAGCATAGCAAGATCAAGTAAACCAAGTGACGGTCAAATTGTTTTGGTAAGCAGATAAGGAGGCCATCGGTATCTGTATTCTTAGTTCCTTCCTATTTAGGAGAAACTCTGGCTAGAGAAAAATGTTAAAAGGGGGTTTAAAAACAGTACATAATCACCATCATCATCACTTCGCGTGGTATATTGGGATATATATACAGGACCAGGAATTGTTTGTCATTATATACATTAACAGGGTTAGATGGTTGGGGTTGGTAGCCCTCTTGTACATATGGTTAAATAGCTAGGGGAACGTTTCAATTTGGTGCAGTGTTTTCCTGTCAGACCTAACAGATGATATTGATCTACGTGCATGGCACAACACATATGTCGAGCACTCATTGGTAATCTAGTGCATTGTCACTATGAGCAATACGTAAATCATTACTGTCTATTATCAACTGGAGTAGGTCTTTATCACATGACATTTGATCCTTTAGAATTTGTGTTGACCTGATGATGTTGTTGATTACATCCAAGATTGGTTTTCGCCGATCATGCAGCCTTTCGCAATTAAGTTCAGAGTGCTCTTTGGTCATCATCCTTAAGCTTCTTGCATAGTTGATATGTAGCATTCACTTCTTTTTGGTTAAAGGCTTTACAGTTTGTATTAAGAATAGATGTTCCCTTAGCAAGTTTCAATTTGGGATGGAGTCTTGCAACATCCCTTGGATTAGCAGGTTTCGTATTCAGAACTGGATGTAACTTTGTAACATTGAAGCTTTCATTAATTCAGTACTCAGATTTGATAGGGTCGAGTATCCTTTTGCTTGGAGGGAAAGGATATATATTACTCCAAGCAAAAGTATACTCGACCCTATCAAATCTGAAAGCTTCAAGGTTACAAAGTTACATCCAGTTCTAAATACGAAACCTGCTAATCCCTTAACCTGCTAATCCAAGGGATTTGAGCTCTATCAATAGTTTTTCTGACTTGACTTTTCCAACAAAACGAAGGGATTGGGTTGTGAGGATATCCAGTGGATCTAGCAGATCATATCGAGCACAGATAGAGCGAACTTCTACGAACCAGCTATACGATTTGGTTGGTTTCCTCTTGCTAACCTTTTTTCGATGCTGTCTGACTAAAGTAGAGCTATGGTTGAGAGATGGATAATATAAGGGCACGTCTTGAACTTGAACATCTTGAACTCTGACCTGAACAGAAACAGGAGCTTCTTGATTGTTATCCTTACTATAACAGGAGCCCTGACGGTACATTAGGAATAGCAATGTTGAGGACATTATCAAGTGATAGGATGCTGAATCTTGTCTACATACGATACTCAACATTTTCTTGTCACCAAAATTCAATCATTTTAACTGCTTTACTCTGACCCAAAGGTCCATATTCTTCTCTAACTCATAATTTTTTCCACAGTTTTTTCTCATACAAAAACAAACACAGCCACCGAACACTTCGATTCACTGAACAAAATTCGTTTATCTTGGGGAGTTAATGCTTAACCGTCAACAAAAAGGATATCTATACCACTAATACCAGCACAACTACAACAGGAAGTAATACTCAAATTTTGTTTATCCGGCATATAATATAAACAATCGACAGTATTATGCTTTGTTGTTACTCAGCATCTGATAGATTTCAGTGTCCAAATGAGATGCCCTTTTGTGCACTTATGTAGAAAAGATCATGCAATGTTACTAATTCTCAATACGAAAATATAATTATGTCAACATTAAAAAACGTATACCCCTATACATGAACTTGTTCGAACAGTCATCCTCGTCGTTTCCTCTGTATTTTGATTTTTCCTTGCGACATGTTTTCGATTGTGTTGATCAATAAAGATTGGTTTTCACTTCCGGTTGTTGAAAAATGCGTTCAGTAAACAATAGAGTCCTAATTCGATTTTATATTATTTATTCAAATATAGTTTAAGGAACTGTTTTATACAAGAATTACAGAAGGACTTCAATAATAACAATGTTTTAGGGTTTTTTTGTTTTTATTTCTTTGCGACATTGAAAGCGAAAGCACGACTGTGGAAAGAATCCGGAATGCGGAATGAGATCGTTTGCTTAACGGAACAGATACGTCTACGTCTACCAAATAATTGACCTACTTCTTCTTTAGGTTATCAGTAGTCCTTCAATGATCTGAAGATTATTTACTGTTTTGCGCAGCGTGGCCTATATATATATTTACAAGAATACAAAAATAATGAAAATGAAATGAATTTGTGGAGGACAGCTGGTGTGAGCTGTTCTCTGAAAGTGTCGAGTGTTGTGACAGTGACTGTATGGAATTTGGTAATAAATTCCATTGAGTTATGTTAAATGTATAGATGTATCTTTTTTGGTTGAAATGTGTCTGAAAGTGAAATTATGATGTGTGCGGTTTCTACTGTCTGATGGTATGAGAATATATATAGCAGATGGGATTGCTACGATTTGATGGACTATTTTGTAGAACATTATTAATCTTGTGCGTAGTCTTCTTTCTCGTAGTGTTGGCCAGTTTAATGAATTTATCATATCTGTAGGACTACTGATGTTATGGTACCTGTTACAGACATATCTGACAGCTCGTCGTTGGACCATCTAGATTTTGGAAGTTTGTTCAACTGTGTGAGGGTCCCATACTTTACATGAACCAGATATGCCTGAGTCTTGATGTTCTGACATGATGTTTTTAAATTTCTTTTTCGGAAGCCTAAAAGATTTGTTGCCATTAGCTATGTATGTTGTCTGTATGTTTTGACCATTTTAAGTTTGCTTGTGGTGTAATGCCCAGATATTTAGCTGAAGAGACCAGTTCAAGTTTGTGATTGTGGAGGATATAGTCATGTTTAAACTGTTTTTTTTTCTTCTGTGAGACTGTAAGGACTGTGCATTTGTCTGGATGGAAAGCCATCAACCGGTCCCGCTCCCACCTACAGCAGCTGCATCTAAATCCAACTGTAGTGCATATTACAATCACTTTGGGATTTGATGGTTTTGTAGATGATACTGTCATCGGCAAACAGTCTGAGCTTACTGGATGATAAGTATTCTTGTAGATCATTGATGTATACCAAGAATAATACTGGGCCCAGAACTGTGCCTTGAGGAACACCTGAGGTGACTGGAGCCAGGTCAGATGACTCTCCATCCAGGACAACTGTTTGTGTTCTGTTACTTAAGAAGGCAGATCCCCAGTTCAGTGTTTCGTTTTGGATACCGTAATAGTTTAATTTATAGAGCAATATTTTATGAGGAACTTTGTCAAAGGCTTTGGCAAAGTCCATTATATTTAAGTCTGTTTGTGTGTTGCTGTTATTATTTGCTGTGAGTTCTTGAATGAATGAAATGAGTTGCGTTTCACAGGATCTAGACTGACGGAAGCCATGCTGGAGGTCATACAGTATATTGTTCTTTTCAAGATGGTTTATGATGTGTTTGGTGATGATATGTTCCATAAGTTTACAGGAAATACGTATATACATGTCAATTATATCGGGCGGTAGTTTTCTGGCTTGTATATTTCCCCTTTTTTGAATACTGTAACTACATTTGCATGTTTCCAGTCTGTTGGTGTTATGACAGTTTCAAGTGGTGTTTTAAAGATTAGTGTTAGAATCGGAGCTGTTTGATCTTTGAGTTCTTTTAATACTCTGCCACTGATGTTATCTGGGCCACTTGCCTTATGTGGGTTTATGTTATGCAGTAGTTTCTTGACACCCGGTAATGATATTTCTAGTGGTGTTATCACGGGGTGTGAGCTTGGACCTTTGTCTGGAATGCTGTTATTTGATTCAGTTGTAAACACTAATTGGAACTGTGTGTTGAGAATGTCTGCCTTTTGCTTTGTGTCTGCTATTAACTGTCCTTCTTATTTCAGAGGAGCGACACCTGTGTTATCTGTGCGCAGTGATTTTATGAAGGAAAATTGTTTTTTAGGTTTGGACTGATTGTTACTCTGTTGGTCAGGTTCGTTTATGGGTAGCCCCACGGTCTTACATCCTCAGTTAGACTGTTCGCCGACGTGTATACGTCGGTCTCCTCCAGTGTAACATCTAATTTACCTTACAAGACGACATTAACAAACTGGTAGATTGGGAAAACAGGTGGAAAATGGAATTCCATCCCCAAAAATGTAGTGTTCTCTCCATCACCAAAAATTAAAAAAAAACACTCATTACAATTACGTATACGTACTATACCTATATATCTACATGGTCTCTGCCTAGCACACACTGACAAAGCAAAATATTCAGGTGTCCCAATCCAACAAGATTATTTTTATTTTTAAGTATAACCCCAGTATGCTAGTCTTTGTTCTTTTTGTACTTGTTTTTTAAGATGTTTGCACTTATCAGCATACTTTATGTTTTATTTCATCTTATAATATAATTCATTTTTTCTATTTATCATTTTCCGGAGATTGTTATGAATCCAATGCAAGGTAGTTCGTTTTTGTATGTTAGAAACTTGTGTGGGATGTTGTTTTCCACCGATTCAGTAAGATTGGTTTTAAATGTGTTCCACATATCATTTACATTTGTTTTGTCATCTAGGTTTTGTAGCTCATTGTATGTTTTTTCTAGATCTGACTTGATGTTACTCCAGTTGGCTTTCTTATATTTGAATATTTTTCTAGGGTTTTCTCTCGCCCTGCGTAACCAGATGTCATGGCCACTAAGGCCTATTCCGTCTTTGCGTATTGCAGTGTTATCTTCTCTTGGAAGCAGGTATTGATTGTTACGTCATTGGTTTTTGTGAGAAAATTACGTCGTTTTCTCAAAAATTGATGACATTACTCTCTTACTGGACGCAGGCAGTCTGGAAACATGTGCAGGAACTTGGCCTCGTCCCCACCTACCGACAACGCCATCAGACATCTGCCAGCTCCTTGCCTTGTCGTTCCTGCCTTCGTTGCACATCAGAGATACATTCCTGGCCCTCTATCGCCGCGCAACAACCCCGGACCTGGTCCGACTGGTGGAGTACATCGAGCGTCAGTGGATAGACGACGATGTATTCACGCCCGCTTCGTGGACCGTCTCCCGACATTGTCCGCACCAACACCGATGTTATAAAAGTGCTGTATGACGTGCACATGTTTGATTAAACTATATAGTTTTGTGTTCATATACTACCTTCTTATATTACCTTCCTATACTACCTTCCTATATTACATTCGAAACGTTAAATGTAATTAATGTAATGTTTTATTTAACATTTTATATATTATCGTTCAATGATATTTAAATGCAACCCCCCTCCCCCCCTCCCCTCCTCCCCTGAACGACGATGTTTCTCTTGTAGAGACTAGCGTTGCTGTGGACGACTTCGCAAGACAACCGCGCCGTGTACAGCCGATACAGTTGACCGCCGCCACCGGATAGCTATATGACTGACGAACTCTCGACCACAGCGTTCTTGAGAAGATGCGCCGCGTTATACACGTGCAGGTTGGACGGGGCAGAGGAGGATGAGGCTAGAGACGAGTGAGAAGTGTTGTTTTTTTTTTGTGTTCAGAGACCGATGCGAACGATGTGTTTAGTACTTGAATATTGTTGTTGTATGTCCGTTTAATTGTGGTTCGTAAATGGTGTATTAGTGCTTTGTGTTAAATAAGTGAGTAAGTAATACTGAGATCTAATTAGTGATTTTAGTGCTTTAATTATTTGTCAGTGAGTGAGTTATTGTGTACGTATTGTGCAAGAAGTGCTAAACGTTTGTTAGGGTAAGTGTTTTTGTATAAGTGTGTAAGAATTGTATTACCTAGTGGTGTTTCTTAAATGAATATGTGTTGCTTATATAAAAAGTGGAATGGATAAAGAAATCAAAACGAAAACAAATTAGTAAGCATATCCTCAAAACAAAACAATAAAAAACAACAACAACAAAAACAAAATAAAGGACGAGGACGAGATTACATGAGCCTGAAGCATAGACCGAATGTTGTTCTCCTGGTCAACTGAATAAAACCCCGACGATTCTTCTCTACTTTAATCAACATACGGTATCCAGGTAGTCGAGTGTTTCCAATGTTCCCTCGGAAAAAGTGGACATTTCTCATCAGGCTTCGGTTTGGTGGGTTGTACGGATGGTCTTTGTGTAATATAAAGGTTGCAATAGAGTTCTTGATAATGCTCATCGGTGTGTCGTATAATGACGTGATATAACATGGATTTTACCTTGATTTATATGTGGCAGGCTTCGTCGACGTTTACCCTTCCATCACTCGTGGTATTGATAACATAGGCTGTGCGATTCTGAACCGAAACGGACAGCACATTCGTTTAACATTCTAAGTATTTCCTGACTCGCTGGGATAAAACTGGTACAACATGTATGCAATATCACTTGATGATGGATTAGTCACGAGTAGGAAATTAAAGTTTTGTCATATTTTGAGAAAGGCGAGGACCTCAGGATTTACCAGCGAAGACCTTCCATGGCTAAAATAAAATGTTCCCTGTATGTTGCCTATCGGAAGGGAGACATCCTAACTGGCCGTGCGATGTCAAGTCTCACGCGGAAGAATTTGATGCCTAGAAATGTATATAAAATTCCCGTTGAAGTCCCTTTAGGTGTAGATGGAGCATTGATATGTTTAGACTTTTCTCGCTGGTGAGATTTTTTTTTAAAAGTGTGGTGTTCTAAAAAACACAAGGCTATTTTGTACATTTTCTTGGCCCTTATTTCAGTTCAGTCGATCGAGTGTTTTAAACACTGCCGCCTTAATTTTCAATTGTTATGTACGATGTATCTAAAATGCTAAATACATGCCACAGGGTACTATTTGATCCTCGAGCAGTTGAAATGTACCAGGTGCTGAATAGTGACCCATGGGAAGCCAAATTGGAAGTGCTAGCGTCAATAGGCATTTGAAAGAGCCATCAAGTCAAATGAGTGCAAAAAAAAGTAGAAGGCATTTTATTTGAAAATAAGACAGGTATATTAAGCAACTGATGTAACTTTGAATTTTCATATTAAGGTGGTTTTGTTTGATAATTCAGTGAACGGGAATAAACACAGAACTTGTATTAGGATAAATTAGACTGTCTTGTGACTGCTTGTTTTGGCTGATTGGTCTGTGCTTCTTGATAAACAATGCAACATGACTTGTAACGATAATATCCTACGCCTCATAGACTGGTGCAATGATTCCTTGTGTAAGCGATATAGGGTCGTTGGTGCTTTGAAATCACAACCGGTCTCAAAATAACCCGATGTTGAACGACACTAGAGTGTGGGGCCGATCTAGTATGTCCGAAATATGTGCGATAGAATTCATCAGTTTGAAAATATGTTATATCAAAGTTTTACGTTATACACAAAAAAATGTACGTATTAAACGTGGCGTAGCGTTTCCAGACCGACTGGTCCCTTTGTCAAGCTATATCGCCCATTCTCATTTATCATGCGCCATACATATAGAATAAAGAATAATGAACTTTGTATTGCGCACATTTATTGGTTTTTTTTCTCAGTAGAGTAACATGTGTAGGAAAGGGTTCTGTTTACTATCAACCGGTTTTGAAAACAGAAGTATCCGTTCCCGACCGGTCATTGTCAGTATAACATAAACGTGATCCAGTACTTCTTCAAAACGGTCATAGCTTGACAGAGGGCCCAGTCTGTCATGCAACTTTGTGATACGTTTAATACATACATTATTGTGTATAAAGTAAATTTATGACTATGTCCGAAACTTAATTCCAAATAGAAATGTGATAAATATGCGAAAGTGTTTTAATTAAAGATAGTAACAGCAGACGAAAGTGGGTTCAAACATTGGAGTATTGGCCATTAGAAAGGCATTGTTTGAGCTGCTGACACATATATATTAGTGGCCAAAAACGGTCATTCGCTGTTAATGCAAAACTATAAAATAGTCTTTTGTAAAGATTAATAGAAATGTTATATACCATTAAAGATACAAAGTGGAGTTACAGCGCAAACTGATCACCCAACACTCTTTATTGATGGTGATAGTGAAACCTGATATTTGTTTGGATTTATTTCCTGTGTGATGAGAATAACTTGATCTATTTGCTTTTTATTTCTGTGTGGTTATGTTGTTAAGTTTACCACAATGAATAACACAAAAAACAAAATAAATTTGGATTCTTCGTTTTTCATTTTATTCATTTAATCACAGAAGAGACTTGTCAAAAGACATCATCATAATATATAAATGTGTCACTCTGGCCATGCTTATGTGACCTTATGCAAACAGATAACAAACAGAACACACAAACATGAGTACACCTCCATTCGAATAATCTCAGCTGATTCTGCTGAATCGTGACGAGTGGCATTTTCCCTTTTACAGAAAGTGCTGACAGTTCCCATATGTGCCCATCAGACTAGACATTAGCATCAGATGTCATATCATGTGATGGACCAGAGCACAGGGACCTGAACATTTGTTACAACTATGTTTGGACATATATTGAGTTGTTCACACTAATTTTACACATTTTACGGGTTTAGATCAATTTTTCAGTAAAAATGTCAATACCATAATTGGGGTTGGCATATTTACCGAAAATTTCTCTCAACCCCTAAAACGTGTAAAATTACACTGAACACCCCAGTTTAGGTCCACATATTGCAGTAACAAATTCTCAGGTCCCTGTGGTCCAGAGCACATATGTTTAGTAGTCCAACACACCAACCAGAAAACATGGCTGTTACGGACAGACACCCCCACTAAAGGACATACAATCATTTGATGATGACTTGATGTACATGTATACTTCTCAATGACAGTGTATATTACTAGGGAAACAGCACAAACACCAGAACCATACCAGGTACCTTGATTGCTTTTGAAAACATTTTCAGCAACCACTAAAATAAATATAGCTTTGAGGAAGATTTGTAGGGACTTTTGAAAATACAACTGTACATGTAAAATAGTTTACGCTACTACAATAAAATACAACTGTACATGTAAAATAGTTAATGCTACTGCAATAAAACAACTATGAAAAAATTCCATGAAACATACACAAGGAAACCGTCTGAAACTCTGTATTGCTGAGAAGTATAATTTATCAAAAACTATATTCTCCATGTAGCATGATGTTTTTGTGTTATACAAAGTACATAGATCTATATATTTAACTACGCATTGTGCGTTGAATTGATGGGCAGTAAGGCTTATTATATTGACATCATGAAATTAAGCATCGAGGAAACTTACAAACAAAAAAGCAGTACAAAATTGACGACCAATTTGAGAATTTGAGCAATGTTATGAGTATCCAGATAATGCTATGAGCTTAACCAATGGTGTTATCATAGAGATTACATACAAATTATTGTTTGATGATCTATTACCTATAAGCACCTGTTTGATGATCTATTACCTATAAGCACCAGGAGTATACACAATGTAACACTGTAAACACAACAAAAATAATCAATAAATAATAGATAATTATTTGAAATGAAAATCTCACAAGTTGAATTTTCTGGTTTTATGAATGCAGGTCCGACTATACATGACAATAATTACACATGTTTTCAGCAGCAGTAACAGTTAAACACATCATTACATTTATTTTATGTGATATACACATACTACATACTAGGAAACCTTCGCCCTGTAACGTTTTTGCCCTACACTGGTAGAATCCGTTTTCGTGCAGTGTTAAGTAATATATTATTTCACCCTAATTACAGAGGGTGAAAAGGGCAAAAAGTTAGGCAGCGGACGAAAATTTCGCTGTATATTGTATTTAGAGATTACAATTCCATAAATAAACACAGAGGGAGGATATAGGTACCCGTGAGTATTCTAGGCAAGGCGGAATGTTCAGCAGAGAACAACAGGCAAAGCTGGGGATTACAGAATATCTCAACAACAAAGTCACAAAAATATTAAATCTAGTACAGTTTAAAAATAAATTGAAATTCAAAACTTAAGTTACATTTGTTGGAATTAACACAGAAATATTTGTCTATTTTCCGATATTATTCAAAAAATTTGCATTATATCTCATTTGAACTATTTAATTACCTGAAAGTAATGAGAGAATAGGACTGAATTATTGAATAAAACCAGATATGACCTCAGTTTAAATGGCAGTGATAGTTAAATTGGAAAATGTTTTGTTTTGTTAAAATTCTAGAGTAGTTTTCCATATTGCACATTCTGTTTAACAGTTAATGATAATAAATACCTAGGTGTCTTATACATACCCGGTATAACATTGTACATTAACTGAAAAAAAATACTAACATAGTCAATACAAACCAATACAGGGTTAAGCTGTATGGAAGTTGTTGTGACGGGGAGGTAACCATTATCACTGATAATAACTCAAATGTTTCTTATATCTGTTCAGACATATATACTACTGGCTTTATATGTCTCTGATCTGTTTCTTCACATTGGAATACCTAAAAATACATACAACTATCGTACATCAATGTATTCAATTTAGCATTAATGGTTACAGGTTTCAAGGCTTTAATTCATGAAAAGTAGACATAATGACATATTCTCGGTCCGCCATTGATACCCATAGAGATATACATGTATAAACATGCTTAGTGTTGCTTTCTTATATGACAATCACTCTTGAGACTCGTGTGAGTGAGTCTGGTCACACTCCTATTTTCTTTTTTAGTGATTTCAAGTCAAGTCAAAATCAGTATTGTTTCGCGTCGACTGATGGAAACACGCCTACAAAATATGTCTGAAAAGAAGTTTGACATGCCTGTCTACAGAAAAAAAAAGAAAAAAAAATGAAAAATGAAAAATGAAGTCCTAGATACAGTGTGATCAACAGAAGAAAAAAGACAAATATTGATTCTCTTAAACCTACCAGGAAATAAATTTGCTCTTGTTCCTTCATGGGAGTCACCAACATTTTGGTTAAGCACCCTCTACTGGTTACGAAACTACAATAGTAATCAGACCAGATTCTCGCTCAGGCAAGTCTTGAGAGTGCTAGTCTGGGGAAAGTAAGACTTACATATACTGTGATAATACCTGGTAAACACATATGATAGTGTTACACCCCACTGTCCAGCAGTGGGTACCCTGGCAATGACACAATCTTATGTCTGCTGTTTAGTACAGTAACAGAGAATTGTTCTTAAACTTTGACATTTGAAAATGTATATAGCTGTGTTATATTTGAAGCAACTTTCTACTGGTGTATGTACTGCAATGACGTTAATCCTATTCTCCAATGCTCTTGATTATGCTACTTGAATTTCTATCATTAGTGAAACCTGTCTAGTCTGACACCTTCAGGGACAATTATTTTAGTAAACTTGGACAGGAAGTCAGAATATACAGATATCATTTGGAAGTTTTTATTAGAAAATGGAATTAAAACATTATTTTGGAATTTACAGGATGTGAGAATACTCAGAGGTCAGATTAGACAGGTTTAACTGTAGTTTTATGAGGTTTACTTTACATACTAATTAAAACATTCAATGTCAATTGTTTAATAATGCAAATATTTGATATCACACAAAATGGAATGTCAATAATGTAGCCATTTTTCATAATCATCTGAATTCATTTGTTTGAAACTTCCAAATGACTGTGAATAAATATTCAATTTTTCTGTGTAGAAAAATAAACAAAAGATCAACATCTCAAACATTGTCATAAAATTCATGACTTTGATACCCATAGAGATATACATGTATAAACATGCTTAGTGTTGCTTTCTTATNAGAGAACATGTTCTTTTCAATTTGAGTTGGAACTATACTGTTGCTGACACAGCCTGCTGTGTGTGTAGCTATTAGATAGTACTGGACTGGGTTTATCCTGGGTCTAGTGTCCTTAGTTAGACAGGTATATAGGCCTGGAATCCAGAGTCATTAGTTGTAAGGCAGCAAATGGCAGGTTTAATCATGTTCATGGCCTTAAGTTGTAACTTACAGGCAGCACTGGGTATTTTAATCCCAATAATATTGCTCAGTCCTAAGTTGTCACTTAAATGCAGTACTTGACAGATATAATCCTGGCAACCTTGCTTGGTCCTCAGTTGTAAGGTAGTAGTCGTAGTATTGACCAGATTTAACCCTTGTTTCCTCACATTGGACACTCACAATCCTCAGGTACCCAGCCCTGGTCCTTAGTAGCGACAAGATACATGTAGCACTAGACAAGTTAAATCCTTGTATCCTCAGACTGGACAGGTTAATCTCTGTAACCCGACATTGTCTTAGTTGTGTTTATGAGCTTGTTTTAATGCAGACACACAGGAATATCTATCCAGGTTTTTTGCACAGTGTAAGCAGCCACAGTGTCAAATTCAGCACCTGTACGCAGACACATGTGGGTGTATAGTACATGTACCTATATTTGGCACAATATATCTACACGAATCTCAACCGGTATTGTCTGACCACTCCGTACCGCTTCAACTGCCCCCAAAACTCTCCCGGGGGCAGAGCCAGAAATGTGTTATACAGGTCCTGGTGGTGGAAGTTGAGGTTTTCCCTGAACACAAACACCGGTACTGGAACTTGTTAGCGCCTGCGCTGGATTCCCGCACCTCCAAGTAACGGTCAACACCATTTCTGACCCCACACATTACAAACATCACCACGTTTGCCTAAAAAATACGATAAAATTCATCATTAAAGCATGCTTCCATGGTTTTATTTATAACAACACGGTGTGCCCCTTCTTTCGCAAATTATATGGTGGAAAGATAATCCATTGAATTACAATCCACGAACAATTTTCATACAAGTGGTCTCTATGACCCTGACACTGAAATCAAAACTGATCCCCCTTAATTCATGTGTAACCATCCTGAGAAATTTGTTATAATGAAATAAAAAGAAACACCAGTTAGGAATCGGATACTTATGTGTTCCCCCCTTCAGCCCTAACCAATTACCACCAACATCTGATCAGGTGTTCCACTCAATGTTACCATACCATGGTGTAATTATCAACAAAACGTGTGCAGGGGTTCATGAAGCATCTTATACACAACCCTATTTCTATGGATGGACACATGCACACAGGCATACACGGACGTACTGACAAATCGATTGATATATACACCCTCTCTAAGTGGGGGGTGTAATAAGAACCATTTGGCATAAAAAAGATAATTTTATTTGTCACCGTATATATAAGAAATGCTATCCTAATTTGGTTGCTTGTTTCTATGGAGACCATGTGACTGTATACATGTACCTTTAGCACATTGTTGTCTGGCTCCCACTGTGTATCTGTTTGAATAGTCTGGGACGAGGAACTGGAATCAAAGTCCCTCATATAACAGGCTGATAGGTTTCCGACACCGGGGGGACCCTGTAAAGTAAAATAATTCAGTACACTGGAAACAAGATAGGCACATCATCTATATCACATTGGGACAACTCGGCTAACGTTACACATCAAGGAATCATATATAAATGTATATTACAATACCAATTTTACAAACCAAGGCCCCCTTATTCAAGGCCTAGGTATATTACGTTTTCGTATTTTTTTTATAGAGTTCTAAAAATGGAAAAAAAGTTAAAAAACAAAACCTTGATTCAAAAACGTTATTCAAAGACAATAAAATACAATATTCATAAACTTTCAGATATTTCTCAAAAATGGCATTGTTTGATAATTGCATTTATGACTTTTATGCCTATCAGTCTTTATAAAACCATCGCTCTTATTTTATTTTTTTCCCATTCTTAATTCAAATTTTGCTTCATTAAATTTACATAAACCGTAACTTTTCACAGCAATGACACTAGGATAGTTTTTTATTCAAAATCCTTTAGTATTATGGAATACAAGAAATAATGTTTTTTGTTCTTTTCAAATCTTTTTATAGTCATTCAATATATTTGTTTAATTAAAAAGATTGACATTCAAGCAATCATTAGCTATACACCAGTAGATAACATTTATATATAGATCATATAAATAAATACAATGAAAGAGCAACAGAGAATTGACTACAAATAATTATATCATAAGCCAGAATTACGGGAAAGCTGTATCACTTGCATGCCATTCGAATAGAAATATCTACACACAGATGGAACAGAGTACTGAAATAATAACATGCAACAGATTGGAAAGTTTGTAGAGAATCTATTGTCTCTTCAATTAAGAATGCTCGATATTTTTTCACAGCGAAAACATTTTTTTTTTCAATTCTTCAAGCTCAGTATGATATTATATATCATATAATTCATCTTTCCATTTACCTGTGGACCTGGCATTTTTGAAATTATGCTGAGTTTGTCTTCAAAATCACTCTGTATAATTGTTAAATGGGACGTGAAGTTTGATTGGAATGCTAAAAGTTGGTGTTGTGTAGCGTTGATCTGCAGGGAGGCATTTCCGTAAACATTGTCTATAATTTTCTGGTTGTGTTGAAGCAACTCTTTAGTTTCCTGCAAATTCTGTTCTAATGAGAGTATCTTTGTTGACGTATCTGTCTTCAGTTCAGACACCTGGAAACAAAAATGGAATTTATACTTATCTCGTAAATCATTCACGGTGCAGTTCATAGTTGTCTTCATTATGACAGCAAGATTTCATTCATAACTGGTACCAAGTTTTTAAGTTTAATCCTGAACACAAATCTCCAGGAAGGGGTTCTATCAGCATACAACATACACTGGCTTCACTCTACATATACAAGCATGTACTAAATATACTTTGATGGGCACTCCAAAGGTAATAGCATTTTATACAGGTATAGTTCAAGTTTTGACTCTGTAAGATACAAAAACTTTCATTTTACAACAGATTCAGACTATAATGTGTACTGTCACATACAGACATTAATACAACTAACAGAAGAAATAATTACGGTGCAAATCATGATCAGCATGCACCAAGGTAATCATTTGACTCTCTATAGCCTATGGTTGGGGAATGGATTGTACCAAGCTACACAGGTACATAACAATAGAGTGGATAGAAGGATTCGGTTCCATGCTCTCACCTACACTATATGTTGACATTCGTAAGTTCCATGCAATGTGCACACATTTAACTACTGTAAAACAAGAAGTGTTTGCCCGCATCGTCTTTTCACCCATTCTGCCCTTGAACAAGAGGTTGAATTTAATATTTAGCAAAATCGTTTCAATGGGCAGAGGGTGAAAATTTTGGCAGGGCAAATATTTGATATTTTTACGATACTTAATTATGTCTACTTACACGCTGACCAAGCTCCTCCAAATATTCTAATGACATATTGCCGGTCATCATGGTCTCCAGGAAATGTAACTGCAGTATAGGAAAACCACATAACTATCAATTATGTAACCATTTCAGTATTTCTTGTTATGAATACAGGTGTTTTATTAACAAGTATAAATTTAGAAAATTGTGTATAATACAGTAATTTCATTTTGACAATTTTTCTTTATCTTTGCATAGTTGTATACATGAGAAGAATTTAATAACTGTGACCTCTATATCAAATTTCTTCTTATAGATCATTTAGTCATTAAATGTATGGTCGAAAAATAGGAAAATTACCATATTTATCTTGCCAATAAAACACAAGTCAGTTAATTATAAACGTTTTTTGTATATTAATTACCTTCTGATTAAGATCGGAGTAATTATTATGAAGGCTGTTTAATTCCTTTTGTAGACTTTGTATCGTAAGCGGACCTGTAAGAAACAAAATATCTCAGTTTCTGCAGGTAAATTTGTTCACATTAATTTAATAATTAAACTGGTTGCTAAATTAAAATGTAATCAAAAGAATCGAATAAATCAGTCCCGAAATTTATTTAACATAACAGTTTTTTACATAATGTTCTAACATCTGGTAAAGTTACACTGAATATATACAGCGTAATTAAATTGATTCCAGGTGAACATGTCCAGTGTATTTACCTGCTGCATAGACAATGACGATATAGAGGCTGATGGCGAGGGAGAGACAGGAGATGAGGATGAGGAAAATGACGATAATCTTTAGCATTCTCAGCCTTTCTTGTACAACATTGTTCGGCTGTGCGGCCTTGACCTTGTTGTAAATGTTGGGAGAGGAGCCGACCATGGTATCGTATAGAGGGTTGTAGCGCTTCCTGTGGGTAAAACAATATACAAAATAATCACTTAGTTACACTCCAGGGAGACATTCAAAACTGATAATGCTGTCATTCAGAGCCTGTGGGCTGCATCTTTTTCTGTAACAGTTAAGGGGAGACAACCAACACTGATCACGGTGTCATACAGACAGTTAACACTTCCTAGAAAAGAACTAAAAATATCATAGGATATGACAACAAAGTGTTGAGTAATAGATAACTTGCCTTTGATCTGAATTGCGTACAATAGCTGCTGTGTCCCCAGACTCAGAAGGGGTTTCAGCAGTGACTGTCCCTGCTGATGACTGGTACTCAGAGCAGGATTCTGGAGAGGTCTGTCTGCCTGCTGCAGCCCTGGAAAAAAAATAAAAAATTACAGTGAATTCTAAAAGAGAAATTAAAAACATGTTACAAAGAAATCACTTTCAATAGGTTTAAATCTGTTATGGGAATATGATTATTCTTACCTGTCTCTTTTTCTTATTTCATTATATATATAACTTGACATTCAGTATGTACAGCTTAAGGTCAGGCAACATCAGATATAATTAATGATTTACTATTTATAGACTAATCTAAGTAAGGTGTATCAAGCTCTACAATTACTTACTTTGGATGAGGGAGTTCTTCATATTGATGACCCCCGTAGTCAGCATAGTCATAATTCTTTGCTGTACTGGAAGGGCGCTGTTTGCCATTTGCAGTTTGCCGGTGGTCTGGTGATACATGTATATCATCAAGGTCAGCCACACCTGTAATCATATAATGTACATTGTCACCAAAAATCATGATATTATTTACCATAAATCATTCAACATGTCTCTCCAGAGAAAATCATGGGAAAAACTGAGTGATTTTTGGAAAATACAACACAAATTATTTAGGAAAAGGGGCTTTGAAAGACTCCTAATTCCCCCCCCCCCCCCCCCCAAAAAAAAATCATTGGCTGGTCATATGTGGGGAGGGTCCTTTAAGCAGTGTGCTCGCTGAAAAATGAATACCAATCAGCATGCAGAATGTCCATTCTATGGTTTATAAAAAAACAAGTGGGAGTGTACTTGGCATTTACCAGCTTCACCAGATAATAAATAGGGCGTGGTAGACTTTATTCACAGTCTACCAGTTCGACCTCTTAAGGCATTCTCATACTTGACCTTTGAATAAAAGTTTATTAAAAACTGTGAAATGTGTGGTTGCTAGAGAGATAACATTGCAAGGGGATGGGACGGAACAGCTGTATAAGGGGACAGAGCGGGAGGGAAAGGGGATGGGATGGGACAGTTGTATAAGGGGACAGAGCGGGAGGGGAAGGGGATGGGACGGGACAGCTGTATAAGGGGACAGAGCGGGAGGGGAATGGGATGGGACAGCTGTATAAGGGGACAGAGCGGGAGGGGAAGGGGATGGGACGTGACAGCTGTATAAGGGGACAGAGCGGGAGGGAAAGAACATCGGTAATGTACATCATGTGTCCCCCCAACCCCCCCAGCCACCTCAATAAAATGGTGGAGGCACAAAAGAATAAATAGATATATGGATGTGTGTGCTATGGAGTTTTATTGATAATCACCTCACATCAGAACTATATGGACTTTTAGTTAATCTCAATACGTCAAATTAATATGCTTTCACTAGCTCTGGAGTACTTGTGACACCTTCTGTATAACTTAATTTAAACGTGTTTTTCATTGGAATACTTTTTCCCTATATCTTCAAAATGAACAACATATTGGGAAGTACCTGGTCAGTATGGCGTTATATTGACACATATAAATCTAAGATGGTGACAACATAGGACCATTTAAAGTATGTCACATATGTACTATAGGTGTAAGCAATCATTGCCAGTTCCCTACAGGTGTGATCAGTCAGGCTTCGGTGATGACGACCTATATCTAACTGTGTAGACATCCATCAATTCTCTCTGGTGTAATTTGTTCTGTAGGCTTCCTATTAGATTATGTGACCTTTACATTCACCCTTATCTACACCCTCAAGCTTCCACCAGAGACAGACTCCCTTCATATGTATGTAGTCATACACTGGGTATTGATTTCCAACATGAGCAGAATAGGTCTACTTGTAAGGCTTTCATTGTCATACAAAAGCAGTTACGAGTGTGAACTATCAAACAATCCGCCATATATAGCTATCCTCTATCGTCAGATTCCAGGAACTGTCATTCAGATGATCTTGAACTTGAGATACCTGATTCACCACGCTGACACTCAGTCACTGGAGGGAATCGGGGGGATCCCAAAGTCGTGATGAATCACCGTTGATCAATATACGATCGCATTACTGGCTGGTATACTGCGTTATGTAACCTGCTTGGTTAGTCACTCTAAAACTTCACCGCCAATTTGTCAATTTATAGCAAAATTACCTTAAAGAGCTAAAGTTAAACATATATAGCTGTCAGAAATTAAATGATATGTTTCAGATCATTGCTCATTAATATTTTTATTCAAACAATTACGTTGAACATCCAGATTCACAGTACTGACCATAGTACAGATATTTAGAAATTAAGACATCTCTTGACAACAAATTTCTTCAATATGCAACCAATCAAAAATCATGAAAGGCTTTTTTATAAGGTAGTTTCTTTCATAAGGCAAAGAGCACCATTATATTCCATATAAAGTGACACCTGTTTAATTTGAACACTAACTGCTGTTTTATCAAACATTATGATGCAATCCCACTTCTACTGAATACTATCCTTTAAGATCTGTGTATTCTGACATTGTGTACAAGGTGTCAGATTTGACAGGTGTCATTCACTGTTCTTCTGGCACATTTAACAGAATTTGAAATAGAGTTGTTTGAATTTCAGTTAACGAAAAATCAGAAATTCTATTAGTCCAAGTCGGAACCTACCAACTACTTATCCTAGATTTCATCGATACTGCTATACAGGAATTGTTAATGCAAAGGATCAAAATGAAAGGTAAATACTTTGCAAAGGGAAGTAACTCCTTAAGGGTTGCTTTATCTTCTAAACAGAAGAGTAAATCAGGCACCTGGCCCACTTTATTTCTCCTTTGTATCATAAACTAGTGCCTTTGGCTTACAAGTACTAATTAACCTCTGTTGTAAATAATGTAGTCCACAGTGGGACAGGCTCGGAGATGGACGGAAGACTGTAGCTAATTATATTACTGGACTGAATCTATCTCAAGGTGACCCAACATAATTTGCTCATTTGGTACTCCAAGAGAGTCCATCTAAAGTTCAAAAGGTCCTGCATAATGAAATAGCAGTCAGGCCTGAAATATCTCTATCATACAATGATTATAAATGATTTATATACTGTAACAGTAAAAGAATTGGATAAATACCATTAGATAATCAGCTGATCGACATGTAGTTTTATAAAAGCCTGAAAATGTTGTATAATGCAATCATAAAGTGTAATTGTCTCTTTACAAAAAATGTCCAAAGTTGAGTACGAGTAATTTGGGTCCCAGGTCCTTTCAGAGAATATCGGTCACATACAGTGCTTAGACTGGAGAGACGTACTGGCTATTTGATGGCCAGGTTCAGTATTAATTTGGACAGCGATGGTACAAAGTCCAAACAATGTAACTCATCATCATACTGCTACATTACAACACCCAAATCACATATGTACTGACAGTTTGTGTAATAATTGCTACACTGGACTTATGATATAGCGGTTAAGTAGTCCCATTAGAGACTATCGGAATTGACACAATTACCCTGTGTGGTCGGCCATGACTCACAGCATCTTAGTATATAACTGATCTTATCACTGTCCCGTTCTCAGTCGTCCAACAGTACTTAAGATTTTCAACCCCATCATTCTCTTAATAAGTTGGTTCACAGTCTAATTGTTTAAATGTACATTTGTGTATATCCTAGTTTACTTGCCATGATTATTTAAAAATCAATTATTCAATTTTATGAATTGTTCTTAAAAAAAAAAGAATAATAAAAGAATTGACCTAATGGAAATGATACAATATTTAGCTGCATTAGTTATAATCCAGAGAAAGATTTTACGTAAGGATCCTCGTACCACTGACTGTTACTTCTCATTGGAAACAGTGTTCTTCCAGCATGAATATAGCTTTGATACATCATTTCAGAAAGAAAACCATACCTTGTGGGACCTTGAACAAAACATCATAAATCAACAACACTAGTGTTCTGAGTGTAAAACTAGCTAATACAGCTATTGAGCTGTTTATGTAAATTGGAACCCCACAATGTTAGTCTCTGGCAATAATATTTAATACAACTCAACTCAGAGTGTATGGAGGCTCTAACAATTTAAACAAACTTAATCCTTCTCTTCTCAGAATTTATCTTTTCCAGGTGAGTTGTCTACTATATAAAGTACATGCCTTATATGAGCTTTTGTGCATAACGTCTAGGAGTTGAATGAATTTTTATTAAAGTAAATATTTGATTTAACTTATTTGACTCCTGACCTATGAACATTACAGGTATGTTCCTGACGGTTGTATGTGCAAGACTGCAACCTTGCTATGTTAATACAACTAGAAACTAAGTGTTGTGAAAAACAGTGCACACCAAGGCTGAGATTTTGGAAGTTTTGGCCTTGACAACAGCAATCACAAGAAAATTTAAGACACATTAATTCTATAAATGTACTGACGTGTATGGCGTGGAGGTTGGGTGTATTAGGTAATCTACAATTTCTTCCACCATGGTACAATATCAGACATGTACAACTAACCAATGTGGAACACTCAAATAGGATATGACTGCACTCAGAGAACTTTTAGTTCAGAAACTACTTTTTTTTATGGCTTGAAGTACATAATATTAAAATAAAATGTTTGATATCAGAATGTTCAGTACATACATATCTTGCAAGCCAACATTCTGAAATGTGACATCTTCTCAGTGTGAAATGACTCTTGAAATTAACATTTTGATCAGCAGAAGAATATCTACCACCAAAACACACTCAGCAACTGATGTCACCTCTAATTAAAATAATTAAATAAAAGGGTGCTCAATCTGACTTTTAAGGCTGCAGGTACAACAAGCAATGATGCACAGAGCTAATGATGACACTAATGGTGTAAATGTCAAGGAAGGAAAACAAGAAATATGACCAGCCTTGCAGACCTCCAATGATACATTGTAATTCTGACCTTGAAGCACAAATCCTGAAAAGGGTATGTGCCATGTACATTATGTCTGTGAAGTTTCGGTGCTTATACTGTATTTAGAAGCAGTCCAAACATGCAAAAGTGGATTGAAAATAATTTAGCAAAAGTTGAAATATGGTCACGTTTTCTTTGTGACCTTGACCTTATAGTGTCCGGGTCGTCACATTTGCCCATTCAGTGTCACATAAAGATTTTTACCTGTTATGTGTTTAAGTTTTACTAAAATATCTCGGGTTATGAAATACTTCCAAGGTTCCAAATACGGATGTTAAATATAATAGTGAACTTGCATGTATATCTGTAGTATATATTAATATATTGATGATCAAGGCAAATAACAGATTTAATTGTATATTTAATGAAGTTATAATCTTATATATGGATTGTTTATCAATTGTTTGATTGTTAAGCATCATCCGTCAATATTAATGTTTTAGTTCCCCTATAATGTATGATACGGAGGATTGCATCAGGTTGTGCTGCATTCTCTGACAACCAATTTATAATGACCTTGACATCAGTATCAGAGGCCAAATGTCAGGTAGAATAATGATTAATATACTTTTTAATCATTATTACAC